TATCCTCTTCTTTTGCTCGTAGGTGAGGTTGCCGACATGCTGCTTTTTGCGGGGCATCGCGAACTACAAAACGAAACTAGTGAAAGAAAGCATCGCCCATGAAGCGGTTTTGGAGCTAATTATACTGTCAGATAGTTTTCTTATTTGGGTTTAAGCCTTGATGTCCTTTCCTATCTGATGCTCTTCGTATACCTGATGGGCACCTTGTCCACGGGTGCTATCAGGTAGGAAAGGTTTTATAGTATTGAGGTTGGCGCACTCAAACACACTGCTACATAATATAAAGTACAAATCATTACAGAAACCCATTTCATACACGGGCACAGGGTGTGCTGCAAAGAAATGGAATTGAGATGGAGATTTCCATCTCTTGGAATGGCACGGAAACCTTAACTGGTTACAGTGTCTACCCAAGGACAGGGATTTCATTGTAAATTGTAAGCTAGCAAGCGAACACCACAACTCATTCTTCGATTTTCCACTCAAGATGAATTTACGCATTCTCGCCACGGGTTTCCTAGCTACATTGGTTGCTCGTACTTCTGCAACCATCGATCATGACAAGATCGAACCCTTTCGAACCGGTTACTGGCGGGCTCAAAGGAACGAACGGCAACGATGGGTGCAGATACAGTATTAAAGACTCTCAGGTCTACGGCCGAGCTGGATGGCACAAGGATGTATGGGCCATCATGTACGCTTGGTACTTCCAAAAGGGTTTTGGATAGACTTGCCGAGTAGACGCCATGATTGGGAGAGCGTTCTTGTGTGGATTGACAATCCCGTGTTGGCGACTCCTAAGATTGTAGGAGTTTTCCACGTCCAAGTCCGACACAGAGTATCTCAAGACAACTAAAACGTATCCATCCGAATATGCCGGTCACGGAGTAAATGGTCCTTCATTTGGTCCGGCTTATGTTGGCGGGTCGAGCACGTCGCTCCGGTTCCAATACGAGACTTCCTGGACCTCACCGGTTTTGGTATTCACCGAGTTGGACGGCGACTACCAGGAATTGATCATGTGGGAACAGCTCACGGATGCATCTCGTGCAGCTTTGAACAGCAGCGATAACTTTGGAAGGGCTGAGGTTCCGTTCAGTGATGAAAAATCGTAGACCACCTCGATGAGGCGTGGCCGTTTTAGATTTAAAGCGACTGTAAAACATGTATGCTGACGGATTCTTATTGAACTAATCGATTTGGTTCAAATAGGGCAACATGCTACTGCAGTGACTGGATACCAAAGACAAAGCAATGCTTTTTATCGGCGTTAGATTGTCAAAGCTAATGGTAAGAAAAGTAATTCTGCATTCTGCACTATACGACCAATGATGTATATGACATCTTTGCTTGGAAATGCTCATTTAAGTCGCTGGCAGCGACCTGTTGACATATACTACAGCCCCTGATTCGGCGCATTGTGCCACATACGCCCTTTAGTGTCTTCGGGTGCTCATCAAGCCAGCGCTACGGGACTTCAGAACACAGTTATTCACCAGATTGCTTGCTGCTTAGACTGGGAATAGCTTTTTCTTTTTGCTATTTAGTATTCAAAACGCATAGTACGTACTGTCGAGGCCTTTCAAACAGGGCTACACTAAAAAGAGCATTCATGGATCACCATGAAATATCACTATTGGCTGTTTAGTTTGTGAATCTCAATACAAGCTACAAGTGGTAGAAGATGAAGTCCTCCGTTTACATTATTTGCCGACTCAGGATACCTGATAATATCCCACTGCGATCGTTAGCTACGAGTCTATCGAGATGGTTGGAAAGTATACCATATTCAATTCGAAGTGAATTAATTAAGGTTATCCGTTCGAATCTCTTAATCTGTTGTGGTTAGGGGAGAGCAGGCCTGATTATTTTGAAAAGAACAGTTCGACGAGAAGCATAATGAGATTTGGTGCTTGTTTGCCAGGTTCTTTAAAAAAAAGGTAATCCACTTAAGATTAGCATCAACTCACTCTTTTGTTTGTTTCTTTTTATTTTTCTTAAAGGAAAACATCCGGACACACATATCTGGACAGATTTTAATGCGGACAGTCGGTACATCACACGATGGTCACAGCTAGCCATTCGGTATACGAGCGAAAAGCTAAAAAGGCCACGCTAGATTCAGACTCTTCTCATAATTCGCGTCAAT